ACACACACAGGGTGTACTGACAGGAGCCAGAGGTCGTCTACTCCTACACACACACACACACAGGGTGTACTGACAGGAGCCAGAGGTCGTCTACTCCTACACACACACACACACCAGGGTGTACTGACAGGAGCCAGAGGTCGTCTACTCCTACACACACACACACACAGGGTGTACTGACAGGAGCCAGAGGTCGTCTACTCCTACACACACACACACACAGGGTGTACTGACATGAGCCAGAGGTCGTCTACTCCTACACACACACACACACACACACACCAGGGTGTACTGACAGGAGTCAGAGGTCGTCTACTCCTACACACACACACACACCAGGGTGTACTGACAGGAGCCAGAGGTCGTCTACTCCTACACACACACACACACCAGGGTGTACTGACAGGAGCCAGAGGTCGTCTACTCCTACACACACACACACCACCAGGGTGTACTGACAGGAGCCAGAGGTCGTCTACTCCTACACACACACACACACAGGGTGTACTGACAGGAGCCAGAGGTCGTCTACTCCTACACACACACACACACACAGGGTGTACTGACAGGAGCCAGAGGTCGTCTACTCCTACACACACACACACACCAGGGTGTACTGACAGGAGCCAGAGGTCGTCTACTCCTACACACACACACACACCAGGGTGTACTGACAGGAGCCAGAGGTCGTCTACTCCTACACACACACACACACACCAGGGTGTACTGACAGGAGCCAGAGGTCGTCTACTCCTACACACACACACACACCAGGGTGTACTGACAGGAGCCAGAGGTCGTCTACTCCTACACACACACACACACACAGGGTGTACTGACAGGAGCCAGAGGTCGTCTACTCCTACACACACACACACACACACAGGGTGTACTGACAGGAGCCAGAGGTCGTCTACTCCTACACACACACACACACAGGGTGTACTGACAGGAGCCAGAGGTCGTCTACTCCTACACACACACACACACACACCAGGGTGTACTGACAGGAGCCAGAGGTCGTCTACTCCTACACACACACACACACCAGCAGGGTGTACTGACAGGAGCCAGAGGTCGTCTACTCCTACACACACACACACACAGCCAGGGTGTACTGACAGGAGCCAGAGGTCGTCTACTCCTACACACACACACACACACACAGGGTGTACTGACAGGAGCCAGAGGTCGTCTACTCCTACACACACACACACACACAGGGTGTACTGACAGGAGCCAGAGGTCGTCTACTCCTACACACACACACACACACCAGGGTGTACTGACAGGAGCCAGAGGTCGTCTACTCCTACACACACACACACACACCAGGGTGTACTGACAGGAGCCAGAGGTCGTCTACTCCTACACACACACACACACACCAGGGTGTACTGACAGGAGCCAGAGGTCGTCTACTCCTACACACACACACACACACACACACCAGGGTGTACTGACAGGAGCCAGAGGTCGTCTACTCCTACACACACACACACACACACCAGGGTGTACTGACAGGAGCCAGAGGTCGTCTACTCCTACACACACACACACACCAGGGTGTACTGACAGGAGCCAGAGGTCGTCTACTCCTACACACACACACACACACAGGGTGTACTGACAGGAGCCAGAGGTCGTCTACTCCTACACACACACACACACACAGGGTGTACTGACAGGAGCCAGAGGTCGTCTACTCCTACACACACACACACACAGGGTGTACTGACAGGAGCCAGAGGTCGTCTACTCCTACACACACACACACACCAGGGTGTACTGACAGGAGCCAGAGGTCGTCTACTCCTACACACACACACACACACCAGGGTGTACTGACAGGAGCCAGAGGTCGTCTACTCCTACACACACACACACACAGGGTGTACTGACAGGAGCCAGAGGTCGTCTACTCCTACACACACACACCACACCAGGGTGTACTGACAGGAGCCAGAGGTCGTCTACTCCTACACACACACACACACCAGGGTGTACTGACAGGAGCCAGAGGTCGTCTACTCCTACACACACACACACCAGGGTGTACTGACAGGAGCCAGAGGTCGTCTACTCCTACACACACACACCACCAGGGTGTACTGACAGGAGCCAGAGGTCGTCTACTCCTACACACACACACACAGGGTGTACTGACAGGAGCCAGAGGTCGTCTACTCCTACACACACACACACCAGGGTGTACTGACAGGAGCCAGAGGTCGTCTACTCCTACACACACACACACACACACACCAGGGTGTACTGACAGGAGCCAGAGGTCGTCTACTCCTACACACACACACACACCAGGGTGTACTGACAGGAGCCAGAGGTCGTCTACTCCTACACACACACACCAGGGTGTACTGACAGGAGCCAGAGGTCGTCTACTCCTACACACACACACACACCAGGGTGTACTGACAGGAGCCAGAAGTCGTCTACTCCTACACACACACACACCCAGGGTGTACTGACAGGAGCCAGAGGTCGTCTACTCCTACACACACACACACACACACAGGGTGTACTGACAGGAGCCAGAGGTCGTCTACTCCTACACACACACACACCAGGGTGTACTGACAGGAGCCAGAGGTCGTCTACTCCTACACACACACACCAGGGTGTACTGACAGGAGCCAGAGGTCGTCTACTCCTACACACACACACACCAGGGTGTACTGACAGGAACCAGAGGTCGTCTACTCCTACACACACACCACCATTTTAAGGGCCTCGTACCTGACAGGAGCCAGAGGTCGTCTACTCCTACATTCACACACACACACACCAGGGTGTACTGACAGGAGCCAGAGGTCGTCTACTCCTACACCTACACAAATACACCTGGGTGTACTGACAGGCTTCCAGGGGTCGTGGACTCCTGGTCGAGGACCGGGCCAGCGGGGACACTAACAGCCCCAGAAATCATCTCAAGATAACACTTTCACAGATAACACACACACACACACCAGGGTGTACTGACAGGAGCCAGAGGTCGTCTACTCCTACACACACACACACACAGCAGGGTGTACTGACAGGAGCCAGAGGTCGTCTACTCCTACACACACACACACACCAGGGTGTACTGACAGGAGCCAGAGGTCGTCTACTCCTACACACACACACCAGGGTGTACTGACAGGAGCCAGAGGTCGTCTACTCCTACACACACACACACACACACCAGGGTGTACTGACAGGAGCCAGAGGTCGTCTACTCCAACACACACACACACACACCAGGGTGTACTGACAGGAGCCAGAGGTCGTCTACTCCTACACACACACACACACAGGGTGTACTGACAGGAGCCAGAGGTCGTCTACTCCTACACACACACACACACACACCAGGGTGTACTGACAGGAGCCAGAGGTCGTCTACTCCTACACACACACACACACACACAGCAGGGTGTACTGACAGGAGCCAGAGGTCGTCTACTCATACACACACACACACACACAGGGTGTACTGACAGGAGCCAGAGGTCGTCTACTCCTACACACACACACACAGGGTGTACTGACAGGAGCCAGAGGTCGTCTACTCCTACACACACACACACACACACCAGGGTGTACTGACAGGAGCCAGAGGTCGTCTACTCCTACACACACACACACCAGGGTGTACTGACAGGAGCCAGAGGTCGTCTACTCCTACACACACACACACACCGGGTGTACTGACAGGAGCCAGAGGTCGTCTACTCCTACACACACACACCAGGGTGTACTGACAGGAGCCAGAGGTCGTCTACTCCTACACACACACACACACACACCAGGGTGTACTGACAGGAGCCAGAGGTCGTCTACTCCTACACACACACACCAGGGTGTACTGACAGGAGCCAGAGGTCGTCTACTCCTACACACACACACACCAGGGTGTACTGACAGGAGCCAGAGGTCGTCTACTCCTGCACACACACACCCCAGGGTGTACTGACAGGAACCAGAGGTCGTCTACTCCTACACACACACCCCAGGGTGTACTGACAGGAGCCAGAGGTCGTCTACTCCTACACACACACACACACCAGGGTGTACTGACAGGAGCCAGAGGTCGTCTACTCCTGCACACACACACACCAGGGTGTACTGACAGGAGCCAGAGGTCGTCTACTCCTACACACACACACCAGGGTGTACTGACAGGAGCCAGAGGTCGTCTACTGCTGCACACACACACCAGGGTGTACTGACAGGAGCCAGAGGTCGTCTACTCCTACACACACACACACCAGGGTGTACTGACAGGAGCCAGAGGTCGTCTACTCCTACACACACACACACACCAGGGTGTACTGACAGGAGCCAGAGGTCGTCTACTCCTACACACACACACACACACCAGGGTGTACTGACAGGAGCCAGAGGTCGTCTACTCCTACACACACACACACACCAGGGTGTACTGACAGGAGCCAGAGGTCGTCTACTCCTACACACACACACCAGGGTGTACTGACAGGAGCCAGAGGTCGTCTACTCCTACACACACACCCCAGGGTGTACTGACAGGAGCCAGAGGTCGTCTACTCCTACACACACACACACACAGGGTGTACTGACAGGGGCCAGAGGTCGTCTACTCCTGCACACACACACACCAGGGTGTACTGACAGGAGCCAGAGGTCGTCTACTGCTGCACACACACACCAGGGTGTACTGACAGGAGCCAGAGGTCGTCTACTGCTGCACACACACACCAGGGTGTACTGACAGGAGCCAGAGGTCGTCTACTCCTACACACACACACACCAGGGTGTACTGACAGGAGCCAGAGGTCGTCTACTCCTACACACACACACACACACCAGGGTGTACTGACAGGAGCCAGAGGTCGTCTACTCGTACACACACACACACACACACCAGGGTGTACTGACAGGAGCCAGAGGTCGTCTACTCCTACACACACACACACACACCAGGGAGTACCCAGGCTCATGCCTCCGTGTACTTGCAGGGTCAGTAATGCACTATGGACCTTACGCCTTCGCTCAGGACAGGTCAAGACCAACAATCATTCCCAGGAAGACTGGCGTGGAGATTGGTCAGAGGCGAGGCTTCTCTGAGGTAAGAACAGGGGGGGGGGAGGGATGGAGAGAATATATATATATATATATATATATATATATATATATATATATATATATATATATATATATATATATATATATATATATATATATATATGTCAGCATATTAGGTATTTACTATTTTCTGATTTAGGGCTTCTATCCCTCTTACTAATGCTGTTGCATCAGGGTTCAGCTGGAAGAGGAGTTCACCAAAAGTCATGTTGTTTTTAGGTGAAGAGAAGAATTGAATAACTGAAGAATACATTAAACTAATTACAAAATCGCACAAAGTTTCGAACCTCCATGGTTCATTCTCAAGTGTAAAGAAATTACAGAACTCGTTAATTTATACCAGTACGGGACAGGTGATAAAACAAGTACAGTAAAGGAAAAGACAAGGGTCTTTTGTCACGATTACTTTTTGCCAAGATTACTCTTCCAGAATAATCTTGGAATATCCTCGACCCCTAAAGAAAGCACTCAGGGACGTGTCCTTCGGGCGTTCCAGCGTCGTTAATAACATTGGTTTCCCATAAGCTGACGACGCTTCGCAGGACCTACCACCTCCTCTGTAGCTTCGGACCAACGCCGACGGTACTGATTCTCTCCCTCGGCCGAGGATAATATGACTACTGCCTCCACTGTTGAGTAATGTTTGCTCAATATCACTCTTCAACAACATCAATGTTTAGTCACGTTACTCACAAGTTGCCTAATTAATACTCACAACTGTCACTGGCCTTACGCCTACAGCTGATCCCCAGAAGGTTCCCGGACACTCCGCGTGTGGTGGGGTACTGCTGCTCCTCATCTCGGCCGCTATACTCGCCACGTTAACCACTAATCTGGCCGATTTTCACAGGAGCTGCGGCGCGTCATCCGTCTTGGTCCGTGTCTGGAGAGTCAGTGACCTGAGCTCCAATCCCGGGGCTCGTCTCGGCGCTCGCAGATGACGTCACAGGAACATACTTGCTGATTGGCTGAGCGCTTGGCCCACTAGCCACTCATATCCTTCGTTATAGAACCTTGAGGCCGCCGTCGCGGCATTAGGCGGGAACCCAAATGTCTCTCCCTCCGCCCAGCGCCATTTTGTCCTGCTTCCTCTCCCTCCTCAATCCTTCACAATTAAAATACGCCCCAAAATCGGCCGCGTATTACTCTCCTTAGTAACGTAAAACATTGTTTAGGTCGTCTGTGATCTTATTAGGTGGGGATATATGTCTCTTGAGGCTGGAGAGTTCTGTTACCAGATGACAATCGTAACACCGGTTACTGACAGGCGGAGTCAGGGAGCTGAAGACTCAACCTCATACAATTTTCTGTGTTCCCCACGACAGTTGGACATTCAGAAGCTGCAGACGTTATACAACTGTGCCAACACCACTCTGGAAGCTGTCGTCACCACCGGGGCCCCTGTCACCACCCCACCACCAGGTAGGTCACCACCCACCACCAGGTAGGTCAACACCCACCACCAGGTAGGTCACCACCCCACCACCAGGTAGGTCACCACCCACCACCAGGTAGGTCATCACCCACCACCAGGTAGGTCATCACCCACCACCAGGTAGGTCATCACCCACCACCAGGTAGGTCACCACCCACCACCAGGTAGGTCACCACCCCACCACCAGGTAGGTCACCACCCACCACCAGGTAGGTCACCACCCCACCACCAGGTAGGTCACCACCCACCACCAGGTAGGTCACCACCCACCACCAGGTAGGTCACCACCCCACCACCAGGTAGGTCACCACCCCACCACCAGGTAGGTCACCACCCACCACCAGGTAGGTCACCACCCACCACCAGGTAGGTCACCACCCACCACCAGGTAGGTCACCACCCACCACCAGGTAGGTCACCACCCCACCACCAGGTAGGTCACCACCCACCACCAGGTAGGTCACCACCCACCACCAGGTAGGTCACCACCCACCACCAGGTAGGTCACCACCCACCACCAGGTAGGTCACCACCCCACCACCAGGTAGGTCACCACCCACCACCAGGTAGGTCACCACCCCACCACCAGGTAGGTCACCACCCACCACCAGGTAGGTCACCACCCACCACCAGGTAGGTCACCACCCCACCACCAGGTAGGTCACCACCCACCACCAGGTAGGTCACCACCCACCACCAGGTGGGTCACCACCCCGTGTGACCTACCGGTCACACGGTGTTCCCCTGTGTTCCCCTGTGTTTCCCTGTGTTCCCTTGTGTTCCCCTGTGTTTCCCCGTGTTCCCCTGTGTTCCCCTGTGTTCCCCCTTGTTCCCCTGTGTTCCCCTGTGTTTCCCTGTGTTCCCTTGTGTTCCCCTGTGTTCCCCCGTGTTCCCCTGTGTTCCCCTGTGTTCCCCCGTGTTCCCCTGTGTTCCCCTGTGTTCCCCTGTGTTACCCTGTGTTCCCCTGTGTTCCCCCGTGTTCCCCTGTGTTCCCCCGTGTTCCCCTGTGTTCCCCTGTGTTCCCTGTGTTCCCCTGTGTTCCCCTGTGTTCCCCTGTGTTCCCCTGTGTTCCCCCGTGTTCCCCTGTGTTCCCCCGTGTTCCCCCGTGTTTCCCTGTGTTCCCTTGTGTTCCCCTGTGTTCCCCCGTGTTCCCCTGTGTTCCCCTGTGTTCCCCCTTGTTCCCCTGTGTTCCCCTGTGTTCCCCTGTGTTTCCCTGTGTTCCCTTGTGTTCCCCTGTGTTCCCCCGTGTTCCCCCGTGTTCCCATGTGTTTCCCTGTGTTCCCCCGTGTTCCCCCGTGTTCCCCTGTGTTCCCCCGTGTTCCCCTGTGTTCCCCTGTGTTCCCCCGTGTTCCCCTGTCTTCCGATGTGTTCCCCTGTGTTCCCCCGTGTTCCCCTGTGTTCCCCCGTGTTAACCTGTGTTCTCCCGTGTTCCCCTGTGCTTCCCTGTGTTTCCCCGTGTTCCCCCGTGTTCTCCTGTCTTCCGATGTGTTCCCCCGTGTTCCCCTGTGTTCCCCCGTGTTCCCCCGTGTTCCCCCCGTGTTCCCCTGTGTTCCCCCGTGTTCCCCTGTGTTCCCCTGTGTTCCCCCGTGTTTCCCTGTGTTCCCTTGTGTTCCCCCCGTGTTCCCCTGTGTTCCCCCGTGTTCCCCCGTGATCCCATGTGTTCCCCTGTGTTCCCCCGTGTTCCCCTGTGTTCCCCTGTGTTCCCCCGTGTTCCCCTGTGTTCCCCCCGTGTTCCCCTGTGTTTCCCTGTGTTCCCTTGTGTTCCCCCGTGTTCCCCTGTGTTCCCCTCGTGTTCCCCTGTGTTCCCCTCGTGTTCCCCTGTGTTTCCCTGTGTTCCCCCGTGTTCCCCCGTGATCCCATGTGTTCCCCCGTGTTCCCCCGTGTTCCCCCGTGTTCCCCCGTGATCCCCTGTGTTCCCCCGTGTTCCCCTTGTTCCCCCGTTTTCCCCGTGTTCCCCCGTGATCCCCTGTGTTCCCCCGTGTTCCCTTTGTTCCCTGTGGTTTCTCTGTGTTTCCCCTTGTTTCCCTGTGTTTCTCTGTGTTCCCCTGTGTTTCTCTGGGTTCCGTTGTGTTCCCCTGTGTTCCCCTTTGTTTGTCTGGGTTCCACCCCTGTGTTCCGCTGTGTTTCTCTGAGTTCCCCTGTGTTTTTATGTGCCCACCTGTGTTCCCTTGTGTTCCTTTGTGTTCACCTGGGTTGTTTTGTTCCGACAGACAGGTGTGAGGACCACAATGAACACTGCGCCACCTGGGCGGGGCTGGGGGAATGTGGGAAGAACCCCACTTGGATGGGTGTCAACTGCCGCCAAGCTTGTCATCAGTGTGGTAAGTGGTGGGCTGGGGGGGGGGGGGTAGGAAGGTGGGGCCCAAGAGCTCGATCCTGCACACACACACACATGCACATACACATACACAACAACATGTTCACAAATGACCAACGACCGGAAGGTCTTTGAAAAGGTTGGAGAAGATAGCCTGGAGAACGCTATACCTAACCTACGTGAGACCATTCCTGAATGTGCAGCCCCAACATGGCAACTGTTGTGGGTTGCATGTTGGGGTGAGGTCGGGAGTTGGCCTGGCGTAGACAATCGTGAAAATGATGTCATGAAAATAATCTTCAATCCAAGTTAACACCAGCAGGCTCCGTCACAACATTAACACCAGGCTCCGTCACAACATTAACACCAGGCTCCGTCACAACATTAACACCAGGCTCCGTCACAACATTAACACCAGGCTCCGTCACAACATTAACACCAGGCTCCGTCACAACATTAACACCACCAGGCTCCGTCACAACATTAACACCAGGCTCCGTCACAACATTAACACCACCAGGCTCCGTCACAACATTAACACCAGGCTCCGTCACAACATTAACACCAGGCTCCGTCACAACATTAACACCAGGCTCCGTCACAACATTAACACCAGGCTCCGTCACAACATTAACACCAGGCTCCGTCACAACATTAACACCAGGCTCCGTCACATCATTAACACCAGGCTCCGTCACAACATTAACACCAGGCTCCGTCACAACATTAACACCAGCAGGCTCCGTCACAACATTAACACCACCAGGCTCCGTCACAACATTAACACCAGCAGGCTCCGTCACAACATTAACACCAGGCTCCGTCACAACATTAACACCAGCAGGCTCCGTCACAACATTAACACCACCAGGCTCCGTCACAACATTAACACCACCAGGCTCCGTCACAACATTAACACCAGGGCTCCGTCACAACATTAACACCAGGCTCCGTCACAACATTAACACCAGGCTCCGTCACAACATTAACACCAGGCTCCGTCACAACATTAACACCAGGCTCCGTCACAACATTAACACCACCAGGATCCGTCACAACATTAACACCAGCAGGCTCCGTCACAACATTAACACCACCAGGCTCCGTCACAACATTAACACCAGGGCTCCGTCACAACATTAACACCACCAGGCTCCGTCACAACATTAACACCAGGCTCCGTCACAACATTAACACCACCAGGCTCCGTCACAACATTAACACCAGGCTCCGTCACAACATTAACACCACCAGGCTCCGTCACAACATTAACACCACCAGGCTCCGTCACATCATTAACACCAGGCTCCGTCACAACAGGCTCCGTCACAACCAGGCTCCGTCACAACATTAACACCAGGCTCCGTCACAACATTAACACCACCAGGCTCCGTCACAACATTAACACCAGCAGGCTCCGTCACAACATTAACACCAGCAGGCTCCGTCACAACATTAACACCAGGCTCCGTCACAACATTAACACCAGGCTCCGTCACAACATTAACACCAGGCTCCGTCACAACATCACAACATTAACACCAGCAGGCTCCGTCACAACATTAACACCACCAGGCTCCGTCACAACATTAACACCAGGGCTCCGTCACAACATTAACACCAGGCTCCGTCAGGCTCCGTCACAACATTAACACCACCAGGCTCCGTCACAACATTAACACCAGGCTCCGTCACAACATTAACACCAGGCTCCGTCACAACATTAACACCAGCAGGCTCCGTCACAACATTAACACCAGCAGGCTCCGTCACAACATTAACACCAGGCTCCGTCACAACATTAACACCACCAGGCTCCGTCACAACATTAACACCACCAGGCTCCGTCACATCATTAACACCAGGCTCCGTCACAACATTAACACCAGGCTCCGTCACAACATTAACACCAGCAGGCTCCGTCACATTATTAACACCACCAGGCTCCGTCACAACATTAACACCAGCAGGCTCCGTCACAACATTAACACCAGCAGGCTCCGTCACATTATTAACACCACCAGGCTCCGTCACAACATTAACACCAGGCTCCGTCACAACATTAACACCAGGCTCCGTCACATTATTAACACCACCAGGCTCCGTCACAACATTAACACCAGGCTCCGTCACAACATTAACACCAGGCTCCGTCACAACATTAACACCAGCAGGCTCCGTCACAACATTAACACCACCAGGCTCCGTCACAACATTAACACCAGGCTCCGTCACAACATTAACACCAGGCTCCGTCACAACATTAACACCAGGCTCCGTCACAACATTAACACCAGGCTCCGTCACAACATTAACACCAGGCTCCGTCACAACATTAACACCACCAGGCTCCGTCACAACATTAACACCAGGCTCCGTCACAACATTAACACCAGGCTCCGTCACAACATTAACACCAGGCTCCGTCACATTATTAACACCACCAGGCTCCGTCACAACATTAACACCAGGCTCCGTCACAACATTAACACCAGCAGGCTCCGTCACAACATTAACACCACCAGGCTCCGTCACAACATTAACACCACCAGGCTCCGTCACAACATTAACACCAGGCTCCGTCACAACATTAACACCAGGCTCCGTCACAACACAACATTAACACCACCAGGCTCCGTCACAACATTAACACCAGGCTCCGTCACAACATTAACACCAGGCTCCGTCACATCATTAACACCAGGCTCCGTCACATCATTAACACCAGGCTCCGTCACAACATTAACACCACCAGGCTCCGTCACAACATTAACACCACCAGGCTCCGTCACAACATTAACACCAGGCTCCGTCACAACATTAACACCACCAGGCTCCGTCACAACATTAACACCAGGCTCCGTCACAACATTAACACCAGCAGGCTCCGTCACAACATTAACACCACCAGGCTCCGTCACAACATTAACACCAGGCTCCGTCACAACATTAACACCACCAGGCTCCGTCACAACATTAACACCAGCAGGCTCCGTCACAACATTAACACCAGGCTCCGTCACAACATTAACACCAGGCTCCGTCACAACATTAACACCACCAGGCTCCGTCACAACATTAACACCACCAGGCTCCGTCACAACATTAACACCAGGCTCCGTCACAACATTAACACCACCAGGCTCCGTCACAACATTAACACCAGCAGGCTCCGTCACAACATTAACACCACCAGGCTCCGTCACAACATTAACACCACCAGGCTCCGTCACAACATTAACACCACCAGGCTCCGTCACAACATTAACACCACCAGGCTCCGTCACAACATTAACACCAGCAGGCTCCGTCACAACATTAACACCACCAGGCTCCGTCACAACATTAACACCACCAGGCTCCGTCACAACATTAACACCACCAGGCTCCGTCACAACATTAACACCAGCAGGCTCCGTCACAACATTAACACCAGGCTCCGTCACATCATTAACACCAGGCTCCGTCACAACATTAACACCACCAGGCTCCGTCACAACATTAACACCACCAGGCTCCGTCACAACATTAACACCAGGCTCCGTCACATCACTAACACCACCAGGCTCCGTCACAACATTAACACCACCAGGCTCCGTCACAACATTAACACCAGGCTCCGTCACATCACTAACACCACCAGGCTCCGTCACAACATTAACACCACCAGGCTCCGTCACAACATTAACACCACCAGGCTCCGTCACAACATTAACACCAGGCTCCGTCACATCATTAACACCAGCAGGCTCCGTCACAACATTAACACCAGCAGGCTCCGTCACAACATTAACACCAGGCTCCGTCACATCATTAACACCAGGCTCCGTCACAACATTAACACCAGCAGGCTCCGTCACAACATTAACACCAGGCTCCGTCACAACATTAACACCAGGCTCCGTCACAACATTAACACCAGCAGCCTCCGTCACAACATTAACACCAGGCTCCGTCACAACATTAACACCAGGCTCCGTCACAACATTAACACCAGCAGGCTCCGTCACATTATTAACACCACCAGGCTCCGTCACAACATTAACACCAGGCTCCGTCACATCATTAACACCAGGCTCCGTCACAACATTAACACCACCAGGCTCCGTCACAACATTAACACCAGGCTCCGTCACAACATTAACACCAGGCTCCGTCACAACATTAACACCACCAGGCTCCGTCACACCATTAACACCAGGCTCCGTCACAACATTAACACCAGCAGGCTCCGTCACAACATTAACACACAGGCTCCGTCACACCATTAACACCAGGCTCCGTCACAACATTAACACCAGGCTCCGTCACAACATTAACACCAGGCTCCGTCACAACATTAACACCTGGCTCCGTCACAACATTAACACCAGCAGGCTCCGTCACAACATTAACACACAGGCTCCGTCACAACATTAACACCAGGGCTCCGTCACAACATTAACAACACCAGGCTCCGTCACAACATTAACACCAGCAGGCTCCGTCACAACATTAACACGACCAGGCTCCGTCACAACATTAACACCACCAGGCTCCGTCACAACATTAACACCAGGCTCCGTCACAACATTAACACCAGCAGGCTCCGTCACAACATTAACACCAGGCTCCGTCACATCATTAACACCAGGCTCCGTCACAACATTAACACCACCAGGCTCCGTCACAACATTAACACCACCAGGCTCCGTCACAACATTAACACCAGGCTCCGTCACATCATTAACACCACCAGGCTCCGTCACAACATTAACACCAGCAGGCTCCGTCACAACATTAACACCAGGCTCCGTCACAACATTAACACCACCAGGCTCCGTCACAACATTAACACCACCAGGCTCCGTCACAACATTAACACCACCAGGCTCCGTCACAACATTAACACCAGGCTCCGTCACATCATTAACACCACCAGGCTCCGTCACAACATTAACACCACCAGGCTCCGTCACAACATTAACACCAGGCTCCGTCACATCGTTAACACCAGGCTCCGTC